ATGACGATGATGACGATGATGATGATGATGATGCTGATGATGATGATGATGATGATGGTGGTGATGGTGATGCTGATGCTGATGATGCTGATGATGCTGATGATGATGGTGGTGATGATGAAGATGATGATGATGATGCTGATGATGATGATGATGATGATGATGATGCTGATGATGATGATGATGCTGATGATGATGGTGTTGATGCTGCTGATGTGGATGATCAAGATCCTGTGGTTGATTGTGGTGATATAATGCCAAGGATTATGTTGATGATGGTGGTGCTGATGGTAGTAATGTCGATGATGAATCTGAAGGCATGAGGGTTATTAGGAACACGAGGCCTTTCATGCCGTGGAGCAGGACGTGGAATGGGGGGAGGAGGCGTGATGATGGAGGAGGGAGGAACATTTGGGTGGAAGAAAGGAGGAGGAAAGGCGGATGGAGGACTGAAGGAGGAGGCAGAAGGGATGAGGGTGGATTGACATAAGAGGAGGAGGATGAGGAGGAGGAGGAGGGTGGTGATGATGATGATGATGATGATGATGATGATGATGATGATGATGATGATGATGATGATGATGATGAGATGAGGATGAGGATGAGGAGATGAGGAGAGGAGGAGGAGAGGAGGAGGGAGGAGGGGGGAGGAGGAGGAGGAGGAGAGGAGGGGAGGAGTGGAGGAGGAGGAGGAGGAGGACGAGAGAGGAGGAGGAGGAGGAGGAGGAGAGGGAGGGAGGGAGGCCTACTTGGGAGGTCTGAGGAAAGAGAGAGAGAGAGTCGGGATTGAGAATCATTGGTGCTACTACGATAAGGACGGCGAGGAGGGATAAACTATGAGAGAGGGCTAAGATGAAGAGGGAGGAGTTTGGAGTGTTACATTGGAGGGACATGAGGGGAGGAAGCGGAGTTTGGATGAACAGTCACGACGGAGGAGGAGTGCTCCCGATGGGGGACGACGGAGGACCAGGGAGCAGGAGGAGGAGGAGGAGGAGAAGGAGAAGGAAGAGGAGAGAGTATTGTATGAGAAGAGGAGCGCGGAGGGGTGATGATGATGGTGATGAGGGAGGAGAGGCTGGAGGAGGAGGAGGAGGAGGAGGAGGGGGGGGAGGGGGAGGAGGAGGGGGAGGAGGAGGAGGAGGAGGAAGAGAGGAGGAGGAGGAGGAGGGCCCCAGGAGATTTCGGAAATTCGGGTCAGGGCCCCTAAAGCACTCCTCAGGACAGGACTGATGCTCAGGGGATTGGGCAAAGGACCTGAGGACACGCCCACTCCGTGTCCAGCGGCACGGAGGGGAGGAGGAGGAAGAGCAGGAGGAGTAGGAACATATTGTATACTATGATGACTGGCACTGGGCAGAACATGGGGGGGATGGGGGATCGGTGCTGATGCTGGGTGGGTAATGTCGGAGGAGGCTGGATGAGGATTGGGGACTGAGGAAGATAGTGCATGATGGGAATAGATGGAGCGGACGGGGACAAACCAGGCGAAGGGCGAGCACGATGTTGAAAGATAGCGGATGGAGAGTGAAACTGGAGGATGATGAAAAGGGGGAGCAGCCAGAGGAACAGGGGGAGGAGGCAGAGGAGGTGGACGACCACGAGGAGGAAGAGGAGGACTTACGCCCAGAGGGCTGGTGGGACTAGAGATGGACCTGGCGAGGAGCCCACTTTGCGAAGTGCGGCGTTATCTTCGCCGTAGCTTTGCCCACAGATGCTAGCAATCCGATGTTTCCCTAAATTGCTTGTTTGTAAGGGTTCCGTATAAGGTATCTACCTACACTGCGACCACCCTTCGGCTGAGGAGCTTTTGGGGAAAGAACCAACTGAGGACAACTGAGATGATTGTGATGGTGGTGATGCTGGTGATACGCTTACGAGTCGGCGACGATGCATGACGATGATGCTGACGACAATGCGTGATGGCAATGGGCTGACACACTGGCGATGTTAGCACACACACGGGGTACCGACTGGACACCGACGGGACACCACGGCGGGACAACCTGGCCACCGCACGCAGACACCGACGGGACACCGCGGCGGGACACCACGGCGGGACACCCCCGGCTCTGGTCGTTGCACGTGGTCTCTCTGCTAGTGGTCTCTGGTTGTGGCCCAGTGACTGGTCGGGTGCTGTGGTCTCTGGTTCCTAGTATAGTCTAGTACGGTGTAGGTGCATTGGAAAATCATTGCACAGGAGATTCCCAAAACAGTGCTTGCACCTAGGAGCTTCTAAATATTTGTCATTCAAGAGGCTTGCGCGATTCTGCTAGCCCCCAGAAGAGGCGTGGAGTCCACCGTCGAGCTGTCGTGGGCTTCTAGAGCACTATGTGGGGATTCTTGTGGGTGTCTTGGGAGCTGTTTGGGGGCTTGGCGGAGCCTCTTGGAGGCAGTTTTGAAGCGTGGCTTGGGCCGCTTTGGGGTCTCTTTTGGGCCTCTTGGGGGCCTCTTGGGGCTTATTGGGGGCCTCTTTTGGGCCGGTTGGGGGCTTCTCGGGGCCTGTTGGGGGTGAGGTCGAAGTGGGAGAGAAAGCCCCCCACCAAGAAATCGGGTTCGGTCTCGGGTTCAAGTTGTGCGTGCGGGCGAGGCGAAGCTGCGTGGGCGGACGAGAGGAAAGACTCCGCTGTGGCTAGGGCGGGTCAAGAGCCGTTGACCGCCCCTCCTCCCTCCCCAGTGGGCGGGCGGTGACCAGATTGTCCCGCCGTGGTGTCCCGTCGCTGTCCGCCTCTCCCCCCGCGGTGGGCGAGCGGTGACCAGGTTGTCCTGCCGTGGTGTCCCGTTGGTGTCCCGTCGGTGTCCCGTCGGTGTCCCGTGGTGAGATCGATACTGATCGATAGGGAGGCCGAGATCGAGCGAGTGAGATCGATAGTAAGACCGACGGTGAGATCGACAGTGAGATCGAAAGTCAGATCGATTGGTGCGCCGATGGTGTCCCGATGGTGTACCGTAGTGTCCCGTCGGTGTTCCGTCGGTGTCCCGTGGTGTTCCGTGTTGAGATCGACGGTGAGATCGATACTATGACCGATCGTGAGATCGATAGTGAGATCGGTAGTGAGAGCGATAGTGGGATCGATGGCGAGATCGATCGAGTGAGACCGATCGCGAGATCGAGCGAGTGAGATCGATAAGGAGGTCGAAGGTGAGATCGCTTATTGTCCCGATGGGGTGCTGATGTTGTCCCGTGGTGTCCCGTCGTTGTCCCGTCGGTGTCCCTTCTGTGTCTGGTGGTGTCCCGTGGTGAGATCGATAGTGTGGTGGGACTGATAGTGTGGCCGATAATGAGATCGATAGTGAGATCGATAGTGGGATCACTAGTGAGATCTAGAGTGATGCCAAAAGTGAGATCGATCGAGTGAGAGCGATGGTGGGATCGATCAAGTGAGACCGATGGCGAGATCGATAATGAAGTCGATAATGAGATCAATAGTGATATCGATGGTGACCTTATGGTGTCCTGCTTAGTGCCCGAATTGGTGTCCCGATTGGTGTCCCGATTGGCGTCCTGATGGTGTCCTGGTGGTGGTGCGATGGTGTCTCGGTGGTGTCCTGGTGTTCTGATCGTGTCCTGGTGGTGTTTCGATGGTGTCTCGATGGTGTCCTGGTAGTGTCCATGGTGAGACTTGGGGAAGGGATCGCAGAGAACCCGACACGCCAAGCGGAATGTCAGCATCATTGGCCACGGGACCGATGGTGACGCCGCATCCTCACATTGCCATCGCAGCGCAGTGGTGGTGGCATTTATTTGGCCCGAGAGAGTTCCAATGTTGCTCCGATCGTACTCAGCACTGCCGCCGTTGCTGCCGCCGCCGCACTCATCACCACTGCGGCCATCACCTTGCCATCAGCAGTCGGCCACCACATTCAGCACCAACCATCACAGCACAGCAGTGGTGGCATGTGTTTGGCCTCGTGCTGCCCCTGGTGGTGTCTCGACGGTGCGGCCGATCGAGTGGCGTCGACAGTGGGACCACGTCGCGACGCAGCATCGTCACCACGCGTCGTCGCCAAGTCGAAGGCGCATCACACGCATGGTCATCATCACCGCCATCGCAGTTATCGTCAGTTGGTTCTTTCTCCCCTACACCAGCCTCCTTACCACCCGAAGAGTGGTCGTACAGGTAGGATGTTCGGTTCGTGTTCCTCCTCTTCGCCTCTCCAGGGGCCATCCTGGGGCGATCTTTGGCCGTCTTGGGTCCCTGTTTGGGCCGACTTGGACCCTCTTGGGCCGTCCTGGGGCCCTCGTAGGGGCCTCTTGGGCAGTTATGTGGCGGTCTACGGGGCCTCTTGGGCAGTCTCGGAGCGTCCGAAGCTCGAGAAGACGATAGCCCCAGAAACAATGAAAAACCAATGGGAAACCATTGATTTTTGCCTCTCGGGGCCCTCTTGGGAAGGCTCTCGGGGCGTCTCGAAGGCGTCTTGGGACGTCTTGGAGCCATCGTAGGCGTCTTGAGCCAATCGTTTTGCGATTCGGGACCGTCCTGGACCACGAAGACTTCCCAGACGGAATACAAACACGATGCGAGAACCGAGGAGGGCATGTCGCTTGAAAAGCACATTGGGCACTGGTGGGGGGATCCACTATATCCCACATCTATTCTTCTGAAATGGGAGCTCACGAGCAGATCGACCCCACCTCCAATGCCCCCTTTCCTTACACATTGTTCATTTCTGATTCTTCGAGAATTCCTTGATTTTTTGGGGCCAAGATCCTCTCGTTTCTAATTGTTCTATCCTGGCTGGGCCTCTCCCTGGCCACCGGGGGTCGGGAACAATTAGAAACGAGCAGAATTAGAAATGAGCACGATTAGACATGAACGACGTGTATTTCATATGGACGTAAGGCCACACATCACGGGAACATTGGAAGGAAAGGTTGGCTGCATGCTGGGATCGATGCGCCGAGGCTTGGGGTGAGTTCTTCGCAGGAGGTGGACCCAACGACCAAACACAAGGTGCAGTTGGTCGTGAGGCCAGGGGTGAGAGTTGCAGAGGCGGGGTAG